ACCAACAATTTTTGAAGAGCTCCATTTTAATATTCTACCATTTTCTCAAGCATGTTCACGAATTTTTTATTTCCTCGAATTCTTCCTAATTTATATCATTTTGTCATTCAGGAATATTATTATAAAGGTTTCCAAGTTTCACCGATATAGTGTTTAATGTATTCACATTGAATACTGTAAATACGCTTTTGTAAATTTTGATCGTTATTTTTTATGGAGATTACAGTTACAATAAGAGATAAAATAGAACATAATATACTCGTATTACTGGTTCCAATATTAGTTAGTTCTCTTTAACTTCTTTAACTTCTGTGATAAATCCTGTCTATATTTTGGGATTGTGTATAACAAAGACCAACTTAATTTTAAATTAAAAAGCAGACAATACTTTTCCAAAGATTTCTGACATACTAAATCTGAATTCAACCTTAGAAATCGTAACCTAAAAGTGCGAAAGACAGAGTGTTCCGCTATATTTGGAGTTATGTTACACCATGAAATGACTTTTCTTCACAAAACTCGTTAAATCACTTGAAAGCGTTAATATTCTTTAGAATCCATTTTGAATCATTCAATCTCTCCGAGATATGGTTTGTTGATATTGATTAGTTTGGCATATTCGTCGATAATCGGGAATTGAAGATAAAAAAGAAAGACAGGTGAAGACGCAAAAAGATAGAGAAATCAAATTACAAACCCCCAAAATCCCCACTGATTCTTCCGGTTTTCGGGGTGGCTGATTACTGACCTGAGGTTGGAATCACAAAACTGTTGGTATTTAGAAATGAAAAACATTCGAGATAAATTCAAGAACCTAGAAAGGACCAGTGAAATTTAAGTGTTTGTAATTTGATTATTTTCTTTGATAAATCTTTTCCTAGAATAGATGAATTTCTCGAAGATTAAAGCAGATATTATTCCAACGAATCAAAAAAAAGATTTGAAAATATAAAAATGTAGTACTTTCAGATGTCGTAACAAGTTTTGTGAGGAAAAATTACCTGGTGATGTAACATAACCTCAAATATAAAGAAAAACCGTTTTTCGCATTTTTAAGTTAGGCTATCTCTAAACTCTGATACGATAGAGAAAGTTTGAAACCAGAATCTGATTCAAAGTGTCGAAAACCTTTGAGAAAGTATAGTTTGGTTTCTGGTTTAACAATCACATTTTGTACAATTTGTCTCTATTTGATTTGAGAATTTCCTTATTTTTTTAAAACCTTTTTCTGTTTTTGAAATATACTTCATTAAGAGGCAAATGTTACGTGCTAAATCGGCTTCAGTACTGTATCAACAATGGCGTGATATTCAGTTACTAACAAAAGAACTGTACATGCCTACTTAATTTTCCAAGATACGTCTTCGAATCAAATTCCAAATCGCTAATGTTCATAATGTCTACTATACATCAATGTTTTATATAAACTTAAAGATATATTTAAAAAAATAAAAATGATGAAATAATTAATTTGTCTAATTTAAAAAAAATATTAAAATGAATTTAATAATGAAATTTTAAAACTTTTAAAAAATGATATTCCTGAGGATAATCCTTTGCTGTGCGTATAAGTAGCTTTAAAATGCCTTTTGTTGATAGGACATGTCGAGTCGCCACTGGTGGTCAAAGCATGTCCAACACATGCACCAAGTACGGGAATATTAATGTCTTGGAGTACCGCGTTCTTACCACCCTTCCACAGCCCTGACCAGGGCATAGATCATGCATTCACCCCAGCTTCTAAGTTACTGCCACCCGATTTTATTGCTTAACCAAATATAAATTAAATTAACTACTGCTTCAGTAAGCAATTAAGAATTAAGGGAGTTTAGCGCTACGAGGAATAAAAAGCGATTTAGGTGACTTTTATTTTGGTTGCAGCAGCCGAAATATAAATCACTACATAATTTCGCGGTGACGACGGCTTTTTCTTCTCTTTATTGCAGTCTTTATTTCCATGTTTAAAGTAAGTACAATTTTAAATGGTTATCTATAAATTCCCTTTGTTATTTTGTAATTTGTTCCACATACCTTTTATATGCATTCGTGGATATTTATATACCTAACTTTTAACCTAACTTTTATAAAATACTTTAAGTAATTTCTTTTTATAGGTGCATGTGAATTGTCGTATAATAAATAATTCGGCACATTTTTATATGAGTATGATTTTTGTTTAGTTTATCTTATTTTACCGCAATTTCGCATTATCATTTTTTTAATATATGCATAATATAATACAGATATGCAGATATATTTGAACATAATACTTTTCATTCTTAAAGAAGAATATTTTAAAACGGACAGGCAATATGAGAATAGAAATGTTTCATGTATTCATCTGCAATCGTTAAAATTGTGAAAATTTAATAAGTACCTACCTACTTAATTAGTTTCCATCGATTTCAAAACATTTGTTTTCCAGAATTAAATAATTACTTACGTAAAAATATTTTTTGGGTTCTATGCTAATGCATATCGAAGAGTTGTACAAATATACCTAGTTATTTATTGGAGGAAACTAAATTTGTTATTCTAAACATAATTCTAGGAAATACATTTATTCCTTAATATTAAACATTACTAGATACCACTTAAAGCGCAACCGCAAACAGTCAACGGAGTAGAACAGCATCAGCCATTACTGGGCATACGTAGTGTGACGTGTGGATGTGCATTATTATGGACGATACTTATAGTTTATTATTCGAATGAGGTTTGGAAAGCCCCAGTGAAATTAAATGCACAATTTGTCCGATTAATTAACCGAGTTTTAATCGGAACTAGGTAACAAAAATTTATTTATTGAGTTGACCACAATTTTATAATTACTATTGGCTTTGTACTAGGATTAATATTAATTAATCAATTTAAAGGCATGGTTTTGTAAATTAGTGATAACAGTCAAAAATAGATTTTTTGTTACTCGTTATATGGAAAATTTGCAAGTCCTCCAGTAAAATACATGTGATCAACATGTTATTTGTGCATTAATTTGTATTTAGTGTAATCTATAAAACTACGTAGCTTACTGCCAGTTAACTAGCATTTCATAAAATATAATGAAAACAATAGAACAAAAACCAATTTTAAAATTTATTGTCATATTACTGGCTGTTGTACTAAAACGTCGATTTCAGTAAATCTCCTTGAAAATACTGTTTTATTACAATATATCATAATATCTTATTTTTTAATAGCTTCCTCCTTGTTCTTCTTACTGAATATTATGTTTGTTTTTATTTCTTTTTTGACTTTTTTTACAGTAATTGTCTAGATAATAAATAAATATATTATTTTTTTAAAAGTGATGATTGTGGTAGTTTTCCCAATAATAAGCTTTTGTACCTAATGCAGTTTTCAATAAATAAATATTTACATCCTATTTATGCGCAGCAGCAAATATTTTAAATCATTATAGCGGTTTAAATGTTTTAAATTAAATACAAATTAATTATTTGATTGGCTTTAATATATTGTATTTCTCCCAATTGAATCCTTTTCTAATTAATAACCTCATAGTTCGAACAGCAGCAATTTTAATATACACATAGTAACTAGATCGAAGAGTACAAAGAAAAGAGGCTTAAAATGTTAAAATTAACAACCTGAAATTTCATTGCACTAATATTAATTGTTAGTCTCTTCTCAATATTCTCAGATTATATGTCTATTTTGATAGTAAATTTTACGCTGATATTGAATGTTAGAATATCTATGTATATAAATTTTACATAAAAAAAGTTTCATGTAACATCAGAGCAGCAACAAAATGGTTTCTAGGACAAATGAAAATATAAATTACAAAATTTGCCGTGTATCAAAACCGATGCAACAACATTGGCATTTTGATTATTATAGGAGGTGGGTTCATAAAAAAATAAATATAAATTGCAGAATTTTATAGTTTCAGTAAGTATCTATTATTTAGTCAGTCTTATAAATCTTGAAATATTAGAAATTATTTAAGTTTGGCATTTTTTATTTTATTAAAATATGCGATAAATATTCACATAATCGTTTTCGAACCTGTACATGTTTTAAACTTTTTTTTTGAAGAGAAATTATTTTATTTTTTACTTGTATGTACGGGGTTAGTTACTATAATCTGACAACTTATTGTGAGTATATTATTGAAATTACAAAAAAGTTTTTAATATAAAAGTTTTAGCTTTTTTATGAATTTTTATAATGCAGAATTAGAAAAAACAATGAATAATGGAAATCACTAAATTAAAAAAATAATTTTTTAAATGGAACACCCTATAAGGTAATTGGGGGAAGATGCATAATATTTTTTCAACACTTTGCAAAAAATAGGAACATAGCTTTATTTGTTTCAAATTTATTGTCACTACTAAGCATATATGTAAAACACAAAATAAACCTAAATGAAACTCCAAATTAGTAAACTTCGTGAAAAAATAATTAAAAAAATAATGACGTCACTTTGGCATCTTATACATATCATAGGGGTAAGATGCCATCATATTGAGTCTAAGATGCCAAACTACGGGGCAAGATGCCTATACTGTGTAACCAACAAATAAATAAGCCCTTGGCATCTTAGACCTTCTCGAATGCCATCTTAGACCTTCTCGAATGCCATCTTACCCCAAGGCAAATGTTTCGTTTCAAAAAAATCTAAAAAAATCATATTTTTTTAGCACAAGGATCACAAGTGTTAGCCTCGGAAGCGCAGCTCTCATGCAGCCACCTTTTGCAAATTATACAGCACAACAATCTACTTTAGGGCCCTTTTTATCATGATAATATCCATTGCAAATGGAACAATATTCGTCTTCGGCATTTTCTATGTTATCTGAGCTGTGGTCTGAAACAATATTGCTATTATCGTCGCTTTCGTCACTGCTGCTGCTGTTATCCAGATGTTTTTGATTTTTTGAGGTTTTTCTTTTCTTCTGAAGAGTTTTTTTCTTATGGGCCTTAAAGTTTCTAGCTTCTTTTTCTTTAGCTTTTTGTAGTTTTTCTTTCACTTTCTAGCACTTTCTTTCACGGAATTGTGGGGAAGTAAGCAATTCAGCATGTTGTTTACGAGGACGTGGTCTGCTAGGACTAGATATGGAAGGGAGCGGGACAATATCCTCAAATGATATTGTTCTATTTAAATCGGTGTTTTCGTCTTCGGGTTCAACAGGGTCTTCAGAATTTTCTGCAACGATATGGACTAAAGTTTCGGCATGTTGATCTGATTGTTCTGAGAGCACATATGCATAATCCGGAATTTTATCCGGGTTTAATGGAAATATTCCGCATGCCTCAAACCCAGAAACTGCATTTTGGTTGGTTGCGGCTTGTTTCCATGCCTGATTTAATAATTCTCCGAACTGATATCTTGTAATTCTACGTCCAGGGTGATTTCGGATCCACTGCCCACAAGCACTGTTCCAGTAAGTCTTTAAGGGCTTGAAAAATGACCTGTCAAGAGGTTGTAGCCAGTGCTTAGTATGACTTGGTAAACAGAGTACATGAATATCATTTTCGGCTAAAAAATCCAACATGTCAACATCGCTGCAATGGGAAGCATGCCCATCAAGAACCAGCACAACAGGACCGGGCCCTTTTCTAGGTAAAAAGTGCCTCTTTATCCATGATGCAAAAATACTACTTTTAACGTAGGCTGAATCCGGCGAAATAACAACAGTTGAACCAGGTGGCATATTGTCTTCAAACTCTTTTTTCTTATTCTTCCCTTTAAATATAACGTAAGGTGGGAGATAATTGCCTTCGGCATTACAGCATGCTATGATACTTATAGTCTCTCCTTTTTCTGCACTTGTCACTGACTGAACATCCTTGGACCCTTTAGTGGCAACAACTTTGTCAGGCTTATTGCAAAGCTGCAGCCCAGTTTCGTCCATATTAAAAATTTTTCCTGGCTTATCAAGCAAATTGTGTTTTTCCAATGTCTCCCCAAGTAATTTAAAATATGGATCAACCTCATTATGAGACATTCCCAGTGAACGAGCAATAGATCGACCCTGAGCCACTCTCATTGACAAAGTCGGATGCCTCCTCAAAAAAAGTTTGAACCAGTCATAACCTGCGAGTTGAACGTCTTTCTTAAATCTACACTTTAGACCGTTTTTTTTTTCAGCAAATGTAAACGCCATGTGCCTAACGTCTTTTGATGTCGGAGCGTAACCAATTTTTTCTAAGTTTTGTATGTAGGAGACCAGCATTTCTTCATTTTCTTTTCCTAAACAACCAGTAGGACCCAAAGTACCCTTTTCTAATTTATTAGTGCGGACCCGCAAATTCCTTTGCAATAGAGTTTGCACCGCCTCTTAAACTATAAGAAACTATAAGAAAAAAGACTTACTTACATGCTAATATTAACTTACCGGAAATCTATCTCATTAAATTACATATGGCATCTTACCCCAATAAACATTTGGCATCTTTCCTCAAACCTAAGGGGGAAGATGCCAAACCGTTTCATACAATGAAAACCAACTATTATAATATTTAAAGGTTATGTTTTGACGCATAACATTACGTTCTTTGATGCTGGTAAGATTTATTGTTAAAACTATTGCACACTTGCATGTGACTAATAAAAATATAGAAGTCATAAAAAACTTACCGGTCTCAATATATGAAACCATCTGAACTATAAACAGTAAATGCCGTCAACAAAGCGGCGACACATTCTTATCTGTTTTGGCAAATGGACATACAACCCGAGGCGCAACTTTCGCGACATCTGTTAGATAGTAACGAAACTATTTTAATTTGGCATCTTACCCTTTTAATCATCTTCCCCCCAATAAAAAAAAACTTATATTAGTGCATTAGCTTCGTTAAATTTTTCTCTTTTCAAAAATATATAATATGTTACTGTTTGATTCAAGACTTTTCGACATATTTCAGTTTAAAACTATTTTTGAAAAAACAGGAGGGAAATTTATGTCTGACGGATCGCAATGGCTATGGACGAGGCACGCAGAACAAACAAATGACTTTGACAGAAGTTTATTTATCGTCATTAGTTTATTTCCTATAACAAACTATTTTACAAAGTTAGTTATCCCTATATTTTATGATAATAAAAATCATTCTTAACTTTAACAGAATTTTAACACTTTCCTAATTAATAAAAACCAACTAAAATACAAATCGTCACAGATGCTCAATGAGACCGCCATTATGATTGATGCACTTCGTATAATCCTCATTAATTTTCAGAACTGCATTTAGTATGAAATGGGAATTAAATTCACTTAAATTTTCTATACCTACATTGATCAACTTTAGATATGTCTTAGTACATCTAAGTTTACACTAGTTTCCTTATAAATCTCGCTTTTTAAGTAACCCCACAGAAAACTCTCCAAGGATGTCTGGGCTATATTTGAAGACCATTGAATATTTTCTCCATTACCAATCCACAAATCAAACCTATTATTTAAATAATTTCGTACTGCTCTGATTCTATGCGGAGGCGCTCCGTCTTGGTGCCACATTAAATTGGTGTAGTGGATCAGCAGCAGGTCTTCCAATGTGTTTTCTATTTTATTTTCAAGAAAATACAGGTATCTTTCCCCAGTCAAAGCACCTTCATAAAATAGTGGCCCAATAATTTTATTTCTCAATATACCGCACCAAACATTAAATTATGTGCGTTCTTGACTTGGAATTTGCCTATTACAGTGAGGATTTTCATTTGCCCAAGTATGAGTATTTTTTCTATTATAAATGCCATCTGTTGTAAAAGTCGCCTCATCAGTCCATAAAATTTTTTCAAAATAGTTTAGGTCGCCATAGTTTTTGGACTGGCATAGTTTTATAGGGGCGGTATTTATATTTATGTAACTTTCTAATAATTTTACTTTGTCTTTTTTATAACTGTCTTGAAGCATTTACAATGAACTTTTGCAGCCTTTCTACAATAATTTAATATTTGAATTTACCATGGTAAACCTCGAATGAATATTTGCTTACCTAGAAAATATAGTAATATATTAGTTCTAATTCTTCATTTGGAATAATTATTCGTTTCTGTATTCCAAGAGATTTTGTTTCTCTAAAGCATTGCTCAATGTCGTAAAATGCAGCTCGAGATGGAATTGGAAACCCGGGATGCAAACGAGCATACTCGGCGCGCGCTGCATTCACATTATTATTCTTGTAAAATAAACGGATAACTTCAAAATTTTCGTTCTCAGTAAACATTATTTCTTTGTTAAAATAGTTTGTTATAGGAAATAAATTAGTGATGATAAATAAACTTCTGTCAAAGTAATTTGTTTGTTCCGCGTGCCTCCACAGCGTCCATAGCCACTGCGAGCCATCAGACACAATTTTCCCTCCTATTTTTTTCAAAAATAGATTTAAACTGAAATATGTCGAAAAGTCCTGAATCAAACAGTAACATTTATATATTTTTGAAAAGAGAAAAATTTAACGAAGCTAACAGTATGCACTAATATATAGGGTGTTCCATTTAAGAAATAAATTTCTTGTTTAATTTAGAGCATTATGCAATTGTCTTTTCTAATACTGTATTATAAAAATTCATAAAAAAAGCTAAAACTTTTGTATCAAAAACTTTTTTGTAATTTCAATAATAAACTCACAATAAGTTATGAGATTATAGTGACTAACCCTGTATACATTATCGTTTGGTTCTGCTACAGACATTCTACAAAAAGTCTTCAGTCGAATAAAATAAGAATATATTTTTTTTTAATGGTCGGAAATTATGCAGCCACCAAGTATATGTATGTTAAATACATATAGCAAGCATCAAATCAAGATTTTAAAAATGACAAAGTCCAATAGTCTGGAAATAATAAACACACGAACTGTTAATCGAATTAGAAAAGGAAACTGGCCTTCTATTTGAAGCAATTTCAAATTAAAATTAATTTAATGAGGCGCCTGTATTTAATCGTACAATATAGACATGGGTTCTTTGAAAAAGTAGCAGTTGGTTACGAATCGAAATTTTTTATTAGTTTGTATATGGTAATTAATGATTCCATTAAACTTTTTTGAAAGCTGTAACTAATTTGTTAATTCTTATATACAATCCAAAAATAAATGAACTAATCTTAGGTTGCACGAAATAAAGAAGTTGGCGTCTAGCCGACATTTTTCTTTCTGACGTGCTTCACTGTAACGTCAGTTTACCTACCTGGCATCCCCTAGATTAATTTGAGTATAATCTGTCTTATTCATTTAAATACATATATCACAGCACCTAAGTATACAAGATTGTGTATCTAATGTGAAAAATAAATTTATTTACACAAATGTATTTAATTTTTTCAAAAACTATACGACAGATATATAGGTTGATTCATATAAAACTTCTCCATCTTAAGTAGAATTTTCTCAAAATAAATTTTAAAAGACCGAAGATAAAAAAAATTGAAATTCAAAGCGATTTTTCCACATCTCCCTTAAATTTTATACAAATCGTCTCCTATAAATAAAATTTAAATATTAAATAACTTTAAAGGCTTAAAAATGAATTAAACTGATGTTTCAAATAATAAAACTTAAACTAAATTGTTTAGAGAATACTTAAAATATATATAAAATAATTCTTGATTTGTTTGGTAAGCCGTCTTTGCTATTATAATAAATATTAAATGTTCAGTGTAACTTAATAGACGTTTCTATTGAATATGTATGGTTTTAATTAATAATGTTTATTTAAACTGATTTTTAGTCGTTCTTAAATATTGTATTGTTTTATTGTTTGAAAACAACGATTCAATTCATTTTGGAATCTTAAACATTGTTAATCATTTCAAGAATATTTAATTTTATCGTGTTATATAATATAAAAATCCATAGAAACTGATGGGAGAAAGTTGTTATTTTTAAAATTCTTGCATTTTTTTCACTACAGTGCCATCAACGATTAATTTTAAATCTTATTTGAAATCTTAATTGACATCAACTGGCTTTTACGGATTATATAAAATAAATTATTTTGCTTATGTTAAAAATGGTAGAAAAACAAGATAAGGAAAAAAATAAATAAGTAAACAACATTTAAATGTCGCAAGGTTTTTCGAAAAATTAAGCAACAAAAAAAATAGTCGCACACAATGAATAGGGAAAATCATAAAATCAAAAATATACAATGTCCTACAATTAATTGTATTACTTCTTGTAAATGCAACTTTATAGAAACATTTCTTTACATTACAATAATTGTTAAAGTCTACAAATGTTACAAGTTTAAGATAAATACAAGTCAATAAACAGCACAAATTATGTATATTTTTATACTTATTTATTTCTTTAATTAACTATAAGAAACAAATATTTATAAGAATTTTAAGTTAAATGATACAAGTACAGGGTATAACATGTAAGACGGACTCTTTCATAGCTCTGGAAATATTAATAGGCCATAGGTACAAAGAAATATTTCAAACAAAAGGTGCACCAAATCAATTTTTTTCATATTTTAAAATTAAAATTTTCGTTTCCATAAAGGCTGAATTTGTTTTTATTTGTTTGTATAATTAGTTCTAAACGTTACCTAACTTTGTTTTTCTAAAATCGAAAATTATATACAGGGTGTCCGCCGAGGTATCCGGGATACTCCATATATGAATTATATGAGCAATTTTAAGCAAAAATGATTATATTTTATTTTCCCGAATTCTCAACGGTTCATGAAATATCTGAATTTGAAGTTGCCAGCTCGTATTGCCAGGATAGTTTCTAAAGACCAAATTACATATATTGCTCTAGACTAGAGGGCTAGGTAATTTGATAATTAGCTGGGATTAGAAAAAAATATTGATTGTCAGTTCGTTAATTGTCATCCTTGATAGTTGGTTATTTTTTATTTTTTTGTCCCATTTGTGTTAAAATCATGCCTTTAATTTATTCAACTGAAGAATACGCGGATACGATTTTCGTGTACTTATGGATATTGCAACGGTAGTACCACCGCCTCAGTTAGGCAACGATATCTAAAGAACGTTCAATAGAACCTTCACAATTCTTCGATTAACAGGTGCGTTTCCTAAATCGACTTGTGTAAGAGAAGTTACGCGAAGAAAAAATGTTACAGAAGTGCTTCAGCTTGTTGAAAATGATCCTGGTACTAGTATGATGGAGCAATCGTCTGGCTACTCTTTCAAGAACCCTTTCCTGTGACGAAGCTACATTTACAAGAGATGGAATCAACAATTTCCTCAACGATCATGTG